CAATCTCAAAAGACTCTTCTAATTAAAAAAAAAAAAAAAAAAAAGCGCAATTGATATTGTGTTTCCAGATAGTACCAGAGAACTGACTTCTACCTGTGGCTACCACTTTGTTCTTTATTTTTATCGTGTGTGTGTGTGTGTGTGTGTGTGTGTGTGTGTGTGTGTGTGTGTGTGTGTGTTGGGTAAGGGTGTTCCTGTAGTCAGAGCACATACCACTGTTTTGTTGCTATCGAGTGAATGACAAAATGGTTTATTTAAAACAAAACAAAACAAAACAAAACAAAACTGATATGTCCTTTAGATGCACGTCTTGAATTCTTACCAAAATTAAACACAGATTTTTTTTTTAACACGAATGTTTTGATCAGCAGATGCTTTTCCGCCTCTTAAAGTAGTTATTTTGATTCTGCTCTGCACAGTCTAGCCCTCAACTCAAGGATGGTTTGCAGTGGTGGTGGAGGTAGCTGTGGTATCGGTAGGAACATCTCTCAGAGGTTTAAACCTCTCTGCTGACTCTTTTCTTGTCTCAATGGCTCCATCTGCTGCCAGGAACGAGGACGTGCACGCCGTCCTCACATTTTAGAAGGTAGGACAGAGCTAACAGAGCTCAGTGGTGACTGGAAAGTATCTGCCTTCTTCTGCTCTTGTTTAATCAGAATTCTCCCAGATTGAGGGTTGAGTGAGTAGCATCTGTGGCTCAGTGTTTATGTTTTAAGTTTGCTGCTACTGTTATATTGTGAATACTTCACCCTTTTTTTAATTCTAATATGGAAGTAGGTAACAAGGATGTGTTCTCTTTGGTTCAGGGCAGTCTTTGCAGCCATCCTCACTGTCCTTAGAATCATTATAAAAGTCTAGGTTCATTTATTCACAGGATGACTGAGCCATCGGTTACAGTGAGAAGAATCGGTGAGTACATGGATACTGATAAATTGCATTTATATCCTTCTCTCCCTCCTTCTGCCCCAATCACACGCAAAGCACTGGATTTGTTTTTAAATTTACTCTCCTTCTGGAGCAAACCCTAGTCCTCTTAGGCTAGGAGCTGTTGCACTTAAATCTATTAACATGTAATCAAAATCCTTTAACATAAAGTTTGCATTTCCCTTTCCCGTAAATATATTTTATTCTCATTGTAGAAAATTTGAAAAATATAAAAAGAAGGAAGAAGAAACTAAAAACTTAATCACTTGAAATGAACTGCCGTGAATGTCTTCTTTCCCTCCAGCTTTTTAAAATTGTCTCGTAATATATGTACATGATGCTTGCATGGCCACATACGTTTTAGCAGCATCATGAGAACCATAGAGAAATGTCTCCAGACCTTGCCACATATCCCCCTGAGAGGCAAAAATCCCACCCCCGACCCCCGTGGAGTATTACTTTGTGTTTTTTACCTGCCTGAGCTTAGTGTATACTGCTGTCAACATCATACTGACTCTAGGGTTTCCAAGTAGCAACTGGGGGATTCGAACTGCAGACCTTTTGGTTAGCTGCCGAGCTCTTAACCACTGCACCCCCCAAGTGAGTCTAATTGCAGCCTCCGTTGAGAATCTCCAATGCAGGGTTGTAAAGGAGGAAAGCACTGGTAACAGATAATGATTTAGCACTGGTAGCATAGAATGATTACTGTAATACGTTTTGCCAGTTCAATTTTCATGAATAAAACTTATTGTGGCAAAGGCTGATTTTCCGGCAGATAAATTAAATGTTACACAAAATCTAATAAAAATAGATTCATTGTTTTTGTTGTTGTTTTCTGTATACTATATGGATGAAGATGGTTGCGCCACATGAAATTGTCAATGTTTAGCTGTTTTTGACCTACTGCAACCACGGTTTCATGTGGTGTAAACTACTCTTCTGCTTTCCGCAGAAGTTAGGAATGTGGGAGGCTGAAGCTGTAGACGCTCCTTTGAGCTGGTAGCATACTCCCATACTGTCTGACAGTCTTGACTGCTTCCAAAGAAAAACATTAACTTTTTGTTGGCAATTTCACAGTGCCAATCGTTAACTTTGGTTCTGATTCACGTCTGCCAAAAGTTTGTTATATTCAGCAACAAGCCCCTTTTAAAATTCTTTTAGTTGGATTCAGAGCTTTTGGTAGGGCAAGATGACTGCCACCACCAAAATAAATCCAAAGGAGCTGGATCAGAGTTACTTGTTTACTTAAGTGGGCAGTTGTAGAGATAAACATTTGAAAGAGTATGATAAAAAAAAAATTTAAATAAAACTGAAGTCTCAGGCACACCAAAAATCAAACCAAACCCATTGCTGTCTAGTCAATTCTGACTCACAGCAGCCATGTAGGACAGAGTAGAACTGCCCCATAGACTTTCTAAGGAGTGGCTGGTGGATTCAAACCACCAACCTTTTGGTTAGCAACTGTAGCTCTTAACCACTGCACCACCAGGGCTCCAACTCATTAGGGAGCACTAAATTTATTTAAAGCCTGCTGGCTGATTTCCATAGAACATAAAAAAAATTATTTTGTATTCTGATTGCATAGAAATCAAATAGAAAAATTTCATGTAAGAAATGAAATAGCAATTAGGCTAGAAAAATAAATGTATCCAAATCAAGAAGGAGGAAGTAAAGCTATCCCTTTTGCAGATGACAAGATCTTATACATAGAAAACCCCAAAGATTCTACAAGAAAGCTATTAGAACTAATAAATGAACTCAGCAAAGTGGCACAGTAGAAGATCAATACCCCAAAGTTATTTGAGTTTCAATATGTCCGTAATGAACCATCTGAAAAGGAAATTAAGGAAAATTACCATTTACAGTAGTATCTAAAAGAATAAATTATCTAAGAATAAATTTAACCAGGCAGGTGAAAGACTTGTACACAGAAAATTATAAAACGTTACTAAAAGTACTTAAAGGAGACCTATATAAATGGAAGGATATTTTGTGTTCATGGACTGGAAGGCTTAATATAGTTAAGATGTCAATAGCACCAAAGCAATCTGTAAATTCAGTGTAATGCCCATCAAAATGCAGAAATGGAAAAGACAGTCATCAAATTTATATGGAACAGCAAGGGACCCTGAATAACCCATTGCCGTCGAGTCAATCACGACTCATAGCGACCCTGTAGGACAAAGTAGAACCGTCCCATAGGGTTTCCAAAGCAGTAATCTTTACGTAAGCAGATTGCCACATCTTTCTCCCGTGGAGCAGCTGGTTGGTTCAAACCACCGACCTTTCAGATAGAGCCAAGTGCTTAACCACTATGTCACCAGCAATCTTGAAAAAGAAAATAAAGTAGGAGAACTCACTTTTCTTCATTTTAAAACATACTACGAAGCTATAGTAATGAAAACAGCCTGGTGCTGGTAAAATAATGGACACATAGACCAATGAAATAGAATTGAAAGTCCAGAAATAAGTCCATACATCTATGTCAATTGATTTTCAACAAGGGTGTTAAGTCCATTAAATGGGGAAGGAAGAGCTCTTCAATAAATGGTCCTGGGAAAAGTGGATTTCCACATACAGAAGAAGATCTATGCCTCACACCATATACAAAAGCCAATTCAAAATGACCAAGAACCTAAATGTGAAAACTAAAACCATGAAATTCTTAGAAGAAAGTGTGGGGGTGAGGCTGTGGAACTTAGTGTTTAGCAACAGATTATCAGATATGATAACAAAAGCTCAAGCAGCAAATGACAGATAGAAGGGACCTCATAAAAATTAAATACTTTTGTACATCAAACGACTTTATCAACAAAGTGAAAAGATAACCTATAGATTGGGAGAAAATTTTCGGGAACCATGTATCAGATAAAGGTCTAATATCCAAAATAGATTTAAAAAAACTTTTACAATTTAACAACAAAAAGACAAAAAACCTAATCAAAAAATGGACAAAGGACTTGAACGGACAATCTGTCAAAGAAGATATTCAAATGGGCAACAATCACATGAAAAGATGCTCAACATCATTAGCCATTAGGAAGATGCAAATCAAAACTACAATGAGATATCACCTCACCCCATTAGAATGGCAGGATCAAAAAAACAGAAAACAACAAGTGTTGATGAGTTTGTGGAGAAACTGGAGCCGTCATCCATTGCCAATGGGAATATAAAATCGTGCAGCCACTATGGAAGACAGTTTGGCCGTTCCCCAAAAGGTCAAACATAGAATTACCATTAAAAAAAAAAACTCTTTGCCATGGAGTTGATTCCGACTCATAGCCACCCTATAGGACAGAGTAGAACCGTGCCCCATTGGGTTTCCAAGGGGTGCCTGGTGGATTCGAACTGCTGACCTTTTTGTTAGCAGCCATAGCACTCAACCACTGTACCTCCAGGGCTCCAGAATTACCATATGACCCAGTAATCCCTTACCCAGAAGAAGTGAAAGCAGGAATGTAAACAGAAACCTGTACACCAATGTTCATGTAGCACTTTTCACAATAGCCAAAAGATGAAAACAACTGAAACATTCATCAACAGATGAATGGATAAGCAAAATGTGGTATACACATACAATGGAAAACTATGCGGCCATAGGAGAAATGAAGTTCTGATCCATGCCACAGCATGGGTGAACCTTTAACACATTATGAGGAGTGAAATGAGTCAGTTGTAAAAGGACAAGTACTGTATGATCTCACTTACGTGAAATAAGCAAATATATAGAAACCAATTATTAATGGCTACCAGAAGTGGGAGGGAGGGGGAAAGGGGAAGTCTTTGTTTGGGGGCATTGAGTTTATGTTAATGGTGGTGGAATATTTTGGAAAATGATAGTGATAATGACGGCACAACATGAAAAATGTAATCAATTATAACTGAACTGTAAATGTGAAAGTTATGTTGGCAGATGTTTTGGTGTGTATATTTTCACCACAATAAAAAAAGAAAAAAGAAACAAATTATCAGAACCACTGCCACGGACTTCTATATTTCCTCTTTTGTGTTCCTTCTTTCTGAACGTAATGTATATTTTAAACAGGAAACTTGAGCCCACTGCAGAAAGACTTCTGAGTCACATCTCTTAGCTTAATCAGAGCAAGTACACAAGGCTCAGTGAACTTGGCCTCTTGGAAAGAAGCCAGATCTCTCTGGTAACATCTTCAGGGAGAGTGATAGAAGAGCTCCTGGGCCTCCTGATTACACGGAGCCAAAAGGGTGTGTGTACACACAATGGTTCAAGGACAACCTCAAGGTAGAGGTGAGCACTCCTCTTGGTTCTACAGAAGGTGGTGGGAGCGTAATGAAATGAAAAAAAAAGGCACTGAGATGATAAGGATGATTTTGGAGAAAGAAGACAGCTCTTAAGGAAAGATTGGTGAAATCTTGACAATTTCAGTGTTGAAACAGGTATGGGACCAAGAATCGGGAAGATGAAAAAAGGAAAAAACAAAACAACTCAGGCCTAGAAACCTTTGAAAGAATAAGAATTTGACCATGTAGAAAGTGAGAAACTGAAGACAAAATGATATTGGAGAAAGGCAGGAAATCACTGGGACGATATAAGGTGTAAGGGGGAGGAGTAAGGAATTGGAAAGTACAATTGACTCTGGGTAAGTTTTGCCTGAATTTGTCGTGGGGTCCAGGTTACTATCTAGTCATTTGTTCTGAGGGAATTCTTGTGGCCTCTTCTTGCTTTCACAGTTGTTCTTTTTTAATTACTGTTTGCTCATAGCTTGACCGCCACACTGTTCTAAACTCCTTAGGTATCTATTTTCCATGGCCCCCTGTCGGTGGGGATCGTAACTCTGTGCATTTGTCTTGCTGATCTGACAGAGACTGAAGTCTGGTGGCATCAGGTGAAGGTCTGGTCTGCTGCTGTGGTTTCCCTCTTACTCCTCAGTGCCTGTTTCATCGTGAGCTGTTTGGGTGAGTTCTTGGCTGAAATACAGCTGTCTCTTGTTCCTTTTCTCAATCACATTTTCTAAAGATTCCGTGAAAACGTAGTCCCTCTCCTGCTATAAAAATGGCAACCCTTACTGGGAATGCCATGCTTTTTGTGATGTAAGTTATTATTATTATTATTAATCATTTTGGATAATTGGTTATGTTAACGCAATAACGTGGATTGGAGCCGCCTGCCGCAATAGCCAATTCTGGGATGGGGTGAGGTGAGCAGCAAGAGTTACTATACATCGATATGTAGGAGACAGAGGGGAACAGATTCCTCCAAAAAACCCGTCTCCCCCACTGGGGATGGGCTGAAGGCTTTTATAGGGACAGGATTATGGGTCTTAAAAGTTTGTGTTAGTTCCCCCTTGAGGTGGTCATGTCTCAGATGAGTTACTCTTCTACTGGTATTGTTGGGGGTTATTTGGTGATGTTCTTGGGGATTAACTGGCGACATCCTGTTTTTTCTCGTCACAAGATGGGTGCTTTGTTCGGTTTTTCATCCCTAGATCATTATCACTTGTTTTCTATCCTCCAGGGAGGAACATTGGTTAATCTTAAACCTTTTGTAGAGACTAGAACCAGAGGGAAAGACAAGATCATGAGACAATATGGCGGTTAGCAACGGAGAGTAAATAATAGTGAGCCGGGTCTATGCGGCCTCTTCCAGTTATCCTTCTAGGTTTTCTTTGCCTAGTCCTAGCTGCATTTTCTCAATTGTAATCATGACCCCATCTCTCTGTGTGCCAGTTGTAGTACCATCTGTTGTGGATTGAATTGCGTCCCCCTAAAACTTATGTTGTAAATCCTAACCCCTATACCTGTGGAGCCCCGGTGGTGCAGTGTTTAAGAGATAGGCTCCTAACCAAAAGGTCGGTAGTTCGAACTTACCAGTTTTCAGTGCTCCTTAGAAACTCTATGGGGGCAGTTCTACTCTGTCCTATAGAGTCACTATGAGTTGGAATCAACTAGACAGCAATGGTTTTTTTTTTAATACCTGTGGTTATAATTCCATTTGGGAGTGTTTTTTATTATATTAATGAGGCAATATCACTGTGGGGTGTGTCTGAAATCAATCTCTTTTGAGATATAAAAGAGCAGATATAGCAAGGAAGTAAGCAACCAGAGATGGGGGAAGATAGATGGCATGCCTAGGAACAGAAGCTCAGACAAGACAAGGACCTTCCCCTAGAGCTAACACAGAGAGAAAGCCTACACCTAGAGCCTGCGCCCTGATTTCGGACTTCTAGCTACCTCAACTATGAGAAAAAAATTTGTTTGTTAAAGCGACCCGCTAGTAGTATTTCAGTTATAACACCACTAGATAACTAAAACACTAAGATACCATTGCTCACTACTTGGTTTATGTGTACTCCAGTGTTGATCTGTTCATTTGTTTTTAAAAGCCCTCTATTGGAGCCCTGATGGCGAAGTGGTTAAGAGCCACGGCTGCTAACCAAAAGGTCAGCAGTTCGAATCCACCAGCTGTTCCTTGGAAACCCTTTGGGGCAGCTCTGTTCTGTCCTGTAGGGTCACTATGAGTCAGAACTGACTCAACCGCAACCGGGATTGGCACAGTGGAGCCCTGGTGGCGCAGTGGTTAAGAGCTTGGCTGTTAACCAAAAGGTCGGTAGTTTGAATCCACCAGCTGCTCTTTGGAAACCCTATGGGACAGTTCTACTTTGGCCTATAGGGTCACTATGAATTGGAATCAACTGGATGGCAACGGGTTATTGGCGCAGTGGCTTAGCACTTGGCTGCTAAATGAACTGTCAGCAGTTCAAATCCACCAGCCGCTCTGCAGGAAGAAGATGTGGCAGTCAGCTTCCATAAAGATGTACAGCCTTGGAAACCCTATAGGCAGTTCGATTCTGTCCTATAGGATGTTTTTTTGTTTTTTGTTTTTTTAAATTGGGAATATAAGTAGCATTCCTTCTATGATTGCAAAACTCTGGGTTTTTGATCTTCACATGGGAGTCTCTTCAACATGAGAAGGACAATTGTTCAAACAATGCTACAGTGGAGGAATAAAGGAAATAAATGATATCATTCCTGTTCCCTTTGCCTGGTGTTATATCCTGGAGGAGCCTTAGAGATTTCTCTATTCTTCTTTGTACCATTTGGTTGTCGTAACATGGTCAATTCTCTGATATTGTAAAAATAAATAGAAATCTGTGAGGAAGTCACTACATGACTTCCTATGTCAACTGAAAACATGTTGGTGATGCAGTCTGCAGTTCCTTCAAGTTATAAATATATCTCACAGGATTTAGAAATGGAATCATTACTAAAGTTAAATTTTGTTTTACTTTTTATGGTCAAGGGCTAGAGAAAAAGGGATTTAAGGATGGTTATTCAATTATTCAAGAGCAAAGAAGACATACAGGAACTAAATTAAGAGGAAGACCAAGGAGTTTGGGTTCAGTCTCAAAATCAGATTGATGAAATAAATGAATGGAAAATTAAGTGAGGATCAGAGAAAGATCTGATCTTGCTCCATACGCATGCCAATGAAAAGAAACCATTTTTAGTGAAAGATGTCTAAATGTCTCTAAAAGGTTAGGTCTCATTTTTTGATTTTATCCCATGTATTTATTTGTAGTTTTCAGCAGTCAGAAAACTTTAGAAATACCAAAAGATCTGTAATCTTTTAGGATTAATAGAGTTAAGGAGAAGCTGTTAGGAAGTGAATCAACAAATATTTATTTATGTGCAGGTCACTATTCTAGGTGCTGGATACACAGTGTGAATATGAATTCCTTCCCTGGAGTCTTAGTTATTTAGTGCTGTTGTAACAGAAATACCACAAGTGGATGGCTTTAATAAAGAGAAATTTATTCTTTCACTGTCTCATAGGCTACAAGTCCAAATTCAGGCTGTCAGCACCAGGGGAAGGCTTTCTCTCTCTGTTGGCTCTGGAGGAAGGTCCTTGTCATCAATCTTCCCCTGGTCAAGGAGCTTCTCAGCACAGGGACTCCAGGTCCAAAGGATACACTGTTCTCCTGGCTCTTGTTTCTTGGTAGTATGAGGTCCCCCATGTCTTTCTGCTGGCTTCTCTCTTTTATATCTTAAAAGAAATTGGCTTGAGACACTATCTAATCTTGTAGATCTCATCAGTATAACAGCTGCTAATCCATCTCATTAACATCATAGTGATAGGATTTACAACACATAGGGAAATCACATCAGATGACAAAATGGTAGACGATTATATAATACTGGGAATGAGGACCTAGCCAAGTGGACAGATTATTTTTGGGGGACACAATTTAATCCATGACACCTGGACTTTTCAGTTTACATTCTAGTAGGGGGAGAATAAGATATGTATGTACACTTATAAAAAATAATATAAATGAGCCCTAGTATAAGAAAACAAGATTAACAGTATATTTTTTTTACCGAGCTTTCACAGAAAGAAGCATGAGCTGGGGGTGGGGTTAAGCCAGTGTGGGTAAAGTGGGGTGGGAGGGAAAGACAGATGTTGTAGACTTTGTAAGAGCATAAGGCTCTATAGCGCAGCACGATACACTGAAAACAATGAGAACTAATCCTTCTTCCTCTTTTCCAGTGAATCATGATAATTTTGTGTATACCAAAATTGGCAGGAAGCTGCATAAACTACAAGACCACCAACAATATCTTTCACATTTGACCTGCTTCAAAGAAAGAAAGGGGCTAAAAGGTACACAGTGAGCAATCAGACTTCTTTTCCTAGTAATCAAATTCCTAGTCCAATATTTTATATCTTTAGCACTGAAACTTTTGAATTCCAGGCTGGTTTAAACTAAAACTCATTACCTTCAAGTCAATGCTGACTCATAGTGACCCTATAGGACAGAGTAGAATTGCCCCATAGGGTTTTGAAAACTGTAATCTTTTCAGAAACAAACTGCCACATTTTTCTCCCATGGAGCAGCAGGTGGGTTCCAATTGCTGACCTTTCAGTTAGCAGCTGAGTGCTTAGCCTCAGCACCACTAGGGCTCCCTTGATTTAACCTACTGTTTTCTTAAAATCTACTTGGATGTTTTTAATAGACATCTCAAAATTAAAGTATCAAACAAGGTTCTAGATTTTATCCTGAAAACTGTCCCTCCTTCAGGTTTCTCTATCCCAGTTCCTCTCCCCCAATTACTCAAGCCTAAATCCTGAGAATCATTCTTAACAGTTCTTTACTCATCATTCTCACCCCTCATTCAATTCATCACCATGCTTAACAGAAAATAACATCCGTCTCCCGATATAGTCCTGAGTTAGCTGAGAAATAAATACATACAGGATTCAGATAAGAATAAAATGATCAACTTTATTAATGGCAGAACTGAATTGTGAAATATGGCTTAGGGGTAAGGCCAAAACATTGCTCCCAAGTCTAGGCCTTGTCACCTCATAGAGGGAGAGTTAGGTCAGCCACGTCCAGGATCAAGGATGGCCCACAGCCTCATGCAGAGGACCAGAGAGGTAAGCTGCACCTGAGCAGCGCCTCAGTGGCCTTACTCCTCTCCAGGAATATGGACCCAATTGATGTCATAATTTTGATATTTCAAGAACAAAATAACTCAGTCTACACTTACTTGAAGTTAGCCAAACTGCAGAATTTAGAGTCAACTATCAAGTTTAGAGAGCATACAGTCCTCCATAGGACCACCCTCACTTCTGACACCAACCTGCAAATTTAGGCAGTTCCCAAAACAACCTTCAGGTTTGGTAAATCACTATAAGGAGTCGTAGAACTCACTGAAAGCTATTATACTTACACTTGTGGTTTATTACTGGGAATGGATTCTAATTAAAATGAGCCAAAGGAAGAGACTCATGGAGCAATTGAAAAGGGTTCCAAATGCTAAGCTTCCATTGTCTCTTCTATGGAGTCAGAACATGTTACTCTCCCAGAATCAATGTGTGATGATACACATAGAGTATTGCCAACCAAGGAAGTTTACCCTAGCCTCAATGTTCAGAGTTTTTATTGGGGCTCCATTGCATAGGTATGATTGAACAATGGATTACGTACATAGTTGATCTCAGCCTCCAGGTCAACTGAAATCCCAGCCAACACCCTCACCCATCACATGGTTGGTCTTTCTGGCTGGCCACGGCCCCCACCATATGCCTATCAGTTTGGCCAACCTCACCCTAAGATAAGGCATGGTCAGTCTCCGCCCTAAACAAAGACATTTTTTTCAAGTATGACATGGATTACCTCCCATAAGTACCCTGCAACAATGGACTCAAACATAGTAATGATTGTGAGAATGGCCCAGGACCGGGCAGTGTTTTGTTCTGTTGTTCATAGGGTTGCTATGAGTCAGAACCTACTCAAAAGCACTTAATGACAATCACAACGTAGCCTGGGTGGCACAAACAGTTAAGTGCCCCACTACTAGCTAAAAGTTTGGCAGTTTGAATACACCCAGAGGTGCCTCAGAAGACACGCCTGGCAATTTGCTTCCAAAAGGTCACAGTTTTGAAAACTCTATGGAGCAGTTCTATTCTGCACACATGAGGTCTCCATGAGTTAGAATAGACTCGACTGCAGCTAACAACAACAACCTTCCAGAAGCCTCTCAGAAGAAGGACAAAGACCAAATCTCTAATTGGGCAATGCCAAATCTTTACTAGAAATGACTCATGGGGAGAGACCTATGAGAGGTGAAGAGACAGCAAAAGCTTCTTCCTTAATACTACCACAAGAGATTAGACTTTTCTATTATTTGGCCTATGGCAAAAATATGGGAATTACTTTGTGTAGTAATAGAGGCCATTATGCAAATGATAAGTTTGCAATTAATAACTTATTTAAACACAGGTGGTAAGTCAAACTCTATAGAAATATTGCATAAATATACTTTTAACAACACAGTTTTCCTACTGTATTTTTTAAAAAGCAGCATTGATAAGCACTCTTTTCAGATAGCCTGATCAAATGTCACCAAATCAGTTTGGGAGTAATAACAAAGTTAATTTTTTAATCATAGTCAATCCTTAGTTGTAGTGTAGCTTCTAAAACAAAAACAAACAAAAATTTACTGAAATATTTAATTTTTTTAAAAATCCTAAAGGGGATATTTGTTGTACATAAACTGCTCTTGTCTAATACTGTTTCTTCATATAAGAACTATGAATAAACATAAATTTCCATATATGCCAAGTTTATCAAAATATATGCTTCCTATATTTTGACATGGTCTACATATTTGTAATTTGTTAGAGGGAATGTGTATGCTCTCTTTATGCTAAGACAGTGGCAAAACTGGTGTTTTAAGGACAGAACTAATATTTTCCATCTACTACTACTGTTAAGTGCTTTGCATATATCATGTCACTTCAGCTTCTTAAAATTCTAAGTGAGAAACATCCCCATTTACAAATGAAAAGAAAAATATTTAAGTAACACTCAGAGGGTTATGTAACTTTCGCAACATTACAGTGCAGAAAATAAGGTTTTAACCCAGGTCCAACATATTCCAAAGCTTATGCTTTGTGAGAAGGTGATAAACTCTAAAGGATGCTTATATTTATAATTTATAAGAGGCTGTAAACAATAGAAAATTGAAATAGGAGATTACTTTTTTGCTAGAGATGTAGAGATGTTCCATATGTGACCCCAATGAATAACGAGGATGTGGAATTAAAAGTATTGCTCTGTAAAGTAATTTTTGTGGATTTAAAGCAGGAATTGCAAAAGAATACCTGTGGGCCAAATCCAACCTGCTGCCTGTTTTCATAAATAAAGTTTTATTAGAACACAGTCATGCTCATTCATTTATGTATTCTTTATGTGCTTGTATGCTACAATAGCAGAAATGAGCAGTTGTGACAGAGAACATATGGCTCACAAAGTCTAAAATATTTGTTATCTGACCCTTTACAGGAAAAGTTTATTATTTATTTAGAGTGAAATGATCTAGAGATTATTAAATACACCAGTAAATGAACTCAGTTTTAGAAAATCATTGGGGATCATTAATGGAACCTAATCGAAACTTCGTGAGCCTTATAGTTTTATATGAGGGGTATTCACCCTTAATTTTTTTTTGTTGTTGTTGCTCTATACTCATTCTGGAAGATTGGCACTGCTGCCCAACATCCTGGAGTCCATTTCAGTCCAGCTGCTACTTTATTTCTACTGAATTGAAAAATTGGACTGATAGTGAGAAGAACTGCTCTGAGATGGGGGCACATCTGATGATGATCAACACTAAGGAGGAGCAGGTACTTTCTTATAGGTAAAGTGGCCAATGAGCCTTGCTTCTTCTTTTGGTTTAAGAGAAGAGTTTTTTGGTTTGTTTGTTTGTTTTATTGCCCTGAAATTTGGCAGAGACAACAGGTATTTGAATAAAACAAATTCTAGAGCAAATCCAGGCAAACAAAGTAGTGAATTTGAGATGTGAGTGGGGAAATGATAAAGTCCTTCACAATTTATCCTCTGCATCTCTTATTTTCTTTTCCATCTTTTTATCTCTGTATTTGAATAGTTTTTGCCAATTCACTAATCTTTTCTTTAGCAGTATCTATTCTGCTATTGAATCTATCCATTGAGTTCTAATTTTAGTTATTGTATTTTTTAATTCTAAAATTTCTCTTGGTTTCTTCTTCAAATATGCTATGTCAAATTTTATCATGTCCAATTTCTGCTCAAGCTTGTCTTTTATGTCCTTGAACATAATAAGTATCATTGTTTTACAGTCTGTCCCAGATAATCAAAATATCTGGGATCCCTGTATGCTTGTTTTCACTGTTCCTCTTGAAGTTGTGTGCACAATTATCTTTCATTCTGTGTTGATATTGTATTTGAAAATTTTATAGAAATAATTAGAGGCTTAGGATATTATCCTGCTATATCCCTTGGCACAAGAAGTCCTACATTACAATAATGCAATTTCAGGGCTTGAAATTTCTATACGATTCAGATGATGTCAAGACAGACTCTAATTTGTATGATGGTTGGTGTACTTCCTATTCACTCTTACCCATTTCTGGGCCCTGGACTCTAACTTTTATCTCCCAGACCTGCAAAGTTGCTAAAAGTGCTGTCCTATCCCTTGAGTGCCTCTTCTGGATCAGTAAAATTTCCCTGAACAAAAAAGGCCATAAATTCCAGGCTTATCTCTATGGATTTCCATTTTCTTCTGCATCTTAGCTTGGTAATTTCTCACTGTTTTGTGAGCTCTTTGAGATATTAAGTTTTTTCATACTACATCCAGCTTATTTATTTGACTTCAGCAGGAAATTTGATCTAAAATTACTTAGTCCAAAATTATTGGAAGTGGAAGTCCTACTACATTCAACAAACAGCATTAATAACAACCATTTATATGAAAATACTTAGGAATAATTAACTGCTTCAAAGAGAAGAGATACTATGGGAAGCAGAGAAAAAAAATTGCAAAGATCCACAGTCAAGATCAATATGTATATGAAGATAAAGCATCCCTGACATTTTCCAAGTAAAAATTTATCTTGCAAAAATTGATTATACACACTGGGGCTTTTAAAGGGTGGCACCCCTAATTATCATCTTCCCTACTAGGACTATTAATGGAAAAATTAAAAAGGATAAAACAGGGAAAATTAAAAAAAAAAAAGCAAAAAAACCTTGATTAATGATGGAAGTCAAATGGGAGGATGTAAATCACTGTGACCTCAGAACCACCCTGTCTTATTGACCCACCAATTTTTTCATATGAATCACTTCTCCTCCCTTGGGCATGAATAAAGGGCAGAGAGTAAACTAGACACTCTAAATGAACTCCCTTTGCAAGGAGAAAATTTTAGGAGAGGAAAAGTTCCCCACTAACATGTATAGCCTTGAAGAATCCTGAGGTTTGGCAAAAGAACAGGGAATGAGAATTCATTATGATCATGGATAGGATTTGCTCCCGTATGTACTGAACATCACGTTCACACTGACATCTTTAATCCTGCCCTATTCAGCCAGGGAAGGACCTGTGCTCCTGGGCAGGCACCAAATGTGGCTGTTCCTGGTAGCTCCTTTCATTTTCTTCTCTTCTTTCTAAGGCCACAAAGAATTCAATACAGCCTAAATATCTGTAAGGCTGTGAGTCTTTTTTTCTTCCCTCAGCAGTTCATCATCCAGAAGCTGGATGGAAATTTTGCTTACTATGTGGGGCTGTCAGACCCAGAGGGGAAGCGCCAATGGCAATGGGTTGATCAGTCACCATACAACGCAAAAGTCACGTGAGTATAGAATTAGAGAAAGGAATCCTGGGTCCTGGATATTACTAGAGTTTTAGGGTGTTCCAGCTATCAGCTATTAAACAAGCAGAAAACCCACAAAGATTTTTAAAAAATTCTATTTGACACCAAAGCCTGTGCTTTTAGCCATATTTATATCTCTAAATAAAATTTTAAAATTGTGTCTATTAAGATCATAATCAGTTAATAAGATTTAGTGTTTTTCATGAAACAGGAATGCTAGACTCTGATAGTCTTATAATAACTCATACTTATGTACTTCTTTATAAACTTTAAAGTACTTTAGTATCCATTACCACCTTTGATCCTCATATCAACTGTGTGAAATACATATGGATATTATTCTAGTTCCCATTTTTAGATAGGAAAACTGAGAATCAGGAAAATTAAATTACTTGCCAAGATGACAGGGGTTAAGTGGCAGATCCAAAGATCTTAATTAGTTCTTCAGACTTCAGCAGCAGTGCATAAAGAAAGGACACATTGTACTTATACTTGGGACCAGCAGGAAATCTCTTCATCACTTAGGGAAGCCCGATGGAATTGGCAGTCCCATGGGAACAGTAAAAAAGGATGAACAAGTAGACCGGAACCTACGGGATAGCTGCTGGGAGGATGTTCAATGTGTCCTGAGTTGTTTAAGGTGGCAGAATACTGGGTGACATGGGCACAATCTTCAAGGGAAATGTCAGAGACAGAGATAGAAGAGAAGCTGCTTAAACTTGAGGGTTTAACAAAAGGAGGCATCATGAGAATAGGAGAAGGAATGATTGAACGTACCTGACCTGGACTCCACATTGTTCAATCCCAGCTCCCTCAGTCTCTAACCCTTTGAAAAAAGCACAGTTTGAAGAAATACCCTCATCCTTTTTCTCCTTTCCAGATTCTGGCATCCTGGGGAACCCAATACGCATGATGAGCATTGTGTTATCATAAATTCTCGTAATGGAAACTGGGGCTGGAATGATGCCTTTTGCGATGTAATGCAAAGGTCAATTTGTGAGATGATGATGATCTCCTTATGAATGGAACATTCTCCATGGACATGTGGTTGGATTGGCATCCACCATGAAAGGGATAGCTAATTTGCTCTTTTTGTTTACGTGTGTCTTGTGTAAGGGATATTCATAGAATTTTTCAATAAGCTGTCATCTATTCCACTTATGATAGAATCAGTTCACACATTCATTCGTTTATTCACTCATAATTGGAGAGCCCTTTTGCAGACGCATAAAATGAGCATAAGACTTCTCTCCTAATTTCTGTTTGACTAGCAGTGGGTTAGGTACTGATATCAGTATTTGATGTGGTTCCTCTCTATGTCTGGCTTGTTCTCTTTATGATTTGGTCAAAATAATTTTCCATTTCTCTCAGACAGATTTATTACTTTTAAATGAAAACATACTAGGTAGCAGCAAGAATTCAGTACCCACCCACAGAAGGTAAGATTCTAGCTTTAGCCCAGTATATTATTTGGACTCTCTCTGCTCAGTCTTGAGCTTGTAAATTTTTCTTTGTGTCGTAGTTTTACAGAAACACATAGTTTCTGTGTATGGATTGTCATCCCAAATGGCCCTGGTTTGTTTTCACCCCTCTTCTTTCTAACCCTACTGCCGTTGACTGGATTCTGACTCATAGTGACCCCATAGGGTTTCCAAGGGTTATGGAAGCAGCCTGCCACATCTTTCTTCCACGAAGTGGCTGGTGGGTTTGAATTGACGACATTTTGGTTAACAGCCAAGCACTTTTAATCATTGTGCCAGCAGGGCTCCTTCTTTTTACTAAAGTTCCTACAAATCACTCTATTTCTACAACAATATAAAAACATATCATATTTATAGTAAAAAAAAAAGAAAAGTTGCCGTCGAGTCAACAGTGACTCATGGCAAACCCATGTGTGTCAGAGTAGAACTGAACTACATAGGGTTTTCGGCGACAGATTTCTTGGAAGTAGATTGCCAGGCTTTTCTTCTGAAGAGTTTCTTGGTGGACTTGAAGCTCTAACCTTTTGGTTATTAGCCAAATTCATTAACTCTTTGCACCACCAAGGGACTCCATATTTATAATATGGCTTGTAATTCATCGCTGTGGCATGGTGATTACAACTGATTATGATGAAACTGATTCCATCAATGGCTTTACTTGTATAGATTTTCACAATGTGACCTGAGATTTTGACCCTATCATCTTGAGGCAACGGAGTCATTTCATTTTTGCAGCCATGCATTTCCTGACTATATATTAAGAAGGGTTATTTTTGGAGGTCCGAGCTTAACCACTGTATGTAGAATTTACTAGTTTAACTCTCAAAGAACAATTTATACACAATTCCTCTCACTTGTTCATCTACACGGAAAGTTTTAAGTCTTGCTTGCACACTATATTCACAATCCTAGGGAGCTTTTAAAAAAAAGACCTCACCCTTAGCATCTATATTTTTTCAAATTCTTCAGAATTGAGAATCTCTGGTCTACATTTACAATAAAAGGAGTACCAAAGTTTAAAAAGTTTCTCCTATGGAGTATCATTTTATGTATGAGCTCAGACCTCTGAGGTAGACACTTCCCCACAGATACGGTGAGACTACATTTGGTAACTCTATTAGTTTCCTGTTGCCACTGTAACAAATTAACACAAGCACAAAACTTAAAAAAAAAAAAAAGTGACTTAAAATAACACAAATCTATTCTTTTACAGTTATGTAGGACAAACGTCTGAAATTAGTTTCACTGGGCTAAGTTTGGGTGTCGGCAAGGGTGATTCCTTCTGGGGGTTCTGGAGAAGAATTCATTTCCTTGCTTCTAGCAGCCACCTGTATTTCTTGGCCGTGGCCTCCCCCTCCATCTTCAAAGTATTGTTGTTAGTTGCCATGAAGTCTCTTCCGACTCATGGCACCCCTATGTGTGCAGAGTAGAACTGCTCCATAGGGTTTTCTTGGCGGTAATCTTAAGAGAAGCAGATGGTCAGGCCTTTTCTTCTGCAGTATTGTTAGGTAGGTTCAAACCGCCAATCTTTAGGTTAGCAGTGGATAGTAAAATATTTGTACCACCTAGGGACCTTCAAAGGAGCCCTGGTTGCACAGTGGTTAAACACCTACCTGTCTGTTAACTGAAAGGTCAGTGGCTGGAACCCACTCAGAGGCAGAAAGATGTGACAGTCTGCTTCTGTAAAGATTACAGCCTTGGAAACCCTATGGGCAGTTCTACTCTGTCGTATACAGTCATTGTGAGTCAGAATCCACACCACGGCAACGGGTTAGGTTTTCTTTTAGAGACTTTCAGGAGCCCTGTTGGTGCAATGGTTAAGTGGTGGCATCTAACTGAAAAGTTGATGGTTCTAACACACTCAGCAGCTCCATGGGAGAAAAGACTTGGCAATTTGCTCCCATAAAGATTACAGCCTAGGAAACCCTATGGGATAGTTCCACTTTGTCATATAGGGTTACTGTGAGTCTTAATCAACTCGACAGCACATAACAATAGGGACCTTCATCTCCAATTTCTGCTTCTGTCATCACATCACCTTCTCCTCTAACTCTGACTCCTTCTGTATCCTCTTCATAAGGACCATTGTGATTGCATTGGACCCATGAGGATAACCCAGGACAATCTCTTCATCTCAAAAACCTGAATTTAATCACATATGTAAAGTCTCTTTTGCCATATAAGGTAACATTTACAGATCTTGAGGATTAGAATGTGGGCATATATGGGGGTCATTATTTAGCCTACCACAATAACTTTTGACAGAAAGCATAAAAGATTGCAAGCATTCAGCAGAATGGCATTGAACTCCATTCCATTTATTTCAAGATATCTAATTTATAATGTAATGCTGAATTATGAAACTCAAAGTTATATACTCGAAACTTTTTTGACAGAATAGTGGAAACTTCCATAATGAAATTTCAGCCCAATTCCATGATGTTTCTGTTGTTTTCAGTTATTAAAACATTTTAATCTTACCATCTCAAGCCAACAAAGCTACCATTAATCCAAAAACACAAAATAATAAATGTTGGAGAGGTTTGTGGAGAGACTGGAACACTTACACATTGTTGGTGGGAATGTAAAATGTTGCAACCACTTTGGAAATCGATTTGATGGTTCCTTAAAAAGCTAGAAATAGAAGTACCATATGATCCAGCAATCCCACTTCTTGGAATATATCCTAGAGAAATAAGAGCCATCACAGGAATAGATCATGTTCATTGCAGCACTGTTCATGACAGCAAAAAGATGGAAACAAACTAGGTGCCCATCAACGGACGAATAGATAAACGAATTATCATATATTCACACAATGGAATACTATGCAATGGTAAAGAACAACGATGAATCTGCAAAACATCTCATAACATGGATGAATCTGGAAGGCGTTATGCTGAGTGAAATTAGTCAGTCACAAAAAGACAAATATTGTATGAGACCACTATTATAAGAACTCAAGAAAAGTTTTAAACACAGAAGAAAAAGTGTTTTGATGGTTAAGAGGGTGGGGAAGGAGGGAGAGGGGAATTCACTAACTAGATAGTAAACAAGAATTATCTTAGGTGAAGGGAAGGACAACACACAACACAGGGGAAGTCAGCACAACTGGACTAAACCAAAAGCTAGAAGTTACCTGAATACAACTAAACTCTTTGAGGTACAGAGTAGCAGGGGCAGGGGCCTGGGGACCATGTTTTCATGGGACATCTAGGTCAACTGGCATAACAAAGTTTATGAAGAAAATGTTCTGCATCTGGGATCTTAAAAGCTAACGAGCAGCCATCTAAGATGCATCAATTGGTCCCAACCCACCTGGAGCAAAGGAAAATGAAGAATACCAAAGACACAAGGAAAATATTAGCCCAAGAGACAAAAAGACCACATAAATCACAGATTCCATTAGCCTGAGACCAGAAGAACTAGATGGTGCCTGGCTACCACCGATGACCACCCTGACAGGAACACAACAGAGAGTCCCTGACAGAGCAGGAGAAAAATGGGGTGCAGAACTCAAATTCTAGTAAAAAGACCAGGCTTAATGGTCTGATTGAGACTGGAGGGACCCCAGAAGACATGGCCCCCAGACTCTCTGTTAGCCCAAAACTAAAACCATTCCTGAAGCCAACTCTTCAGACAGATTACACTGGACTATAAGACATAAAATGATACTCGTGAAGAGTGTGCTTCTTAGCTCAAGTAGATACATGAGACTAAATGGGCAGCTCCTTTCTGGAGGCTAGATGAGAAGGCAGAAAGGGACAGGAGCTGGATGAATAGACATGAGAAATCCAGAGTGGAAAGGAGGAGTGTGCTGTCACATTGTAGAGAGAGCAACTAGGGTCACATAATGTTTGTATAAATATTTGTATGAGAAACTAACTCGAGCTGTAAACTTTCACTTCAAGCCAAAGCAAAAAAAAAAAAACAAAAACAAAAAAAACCACTTTTGTCTTGGCTATTAAGTTTAAAACTTAGAAAAATAATTCCCCATCTGTATTAAAGGAAAGTAATTTGTAATAAGATACACATTTCAACATGTAAATGTCCACTTTAAAATTCTGAGCCCCCAAAAATTTTTGTCTCAAAACTTTGAGACAAAGCTGTCCTGTTCCAGTGGGGATTAAGGGTTGTTTTGGATTACCAGCACTTCCTGGTTCCCTCTCTCTTGCAATGGCTGAAAACCTGGCTGTTTCAGGGGGCTGCATCAATTGGACTTTAGAGGGGACTTTATGGAATCTTCCCTCTACACTCAATGGATATTGAGGTGAGATGTAAACTTTTACTCACTCACCCCTAGAACCATTTGCTTTGAGGACTTCCCATTTAGCAGTTTCTCTTGTGGAGATGGCTGTGAGTAGTTACTGGCAATACGGCTTGGGTTCCAGCTACTTTCAGAACTTGGCTCCTCAAATGATGGAAATGCAAGCTGTCTTCAGACTCTCTTGCCTCACAGGAACCCCCACCTCCACCCAACTCCTTTCTTAACACAGCAGCATCAGGGCTGGGCTATCAGGCTCTCCACTGGCTCAATGACTCAGCAGTGATCACCAGATAATGACTCAGAGACAATCAGCAGCTCCCAGCTTAGCTGTGGTCAGAGAAGACACTTTGGGCACATCTACTGCAATAGGGAGGAGGGAGAACATATTAATACTCTCCTTTTCCCCCATAGTAAGATAAAACAGATCCAAAACCAAACCCCTTGCCATTGACTCGATTCTGATTCATAGCAACCCTGTAGGACAGAGTAGAACCGCCCCATAGGGTTTCCAAGGCTATAAATCTTTATGGAAGCAGATAGACACATCTTTCTCCTGCAGAGCAGCTGGTAGGTTCAGACCACCACCCTTTCAGTTAGCAGCTGAGCACTTAACCACTGCCTCCCCAGGGCTCCCCCAGTATAAAACAGATAAGGCCCATAAAATCTTTAATTTTCCCAAATGCATTCTCTTGTTCTAGCTCTAGCCTCCTTTGACAACCGAAGTTGTTCTTGGGTCTGTTCTTATGAAATGGTACTCCGCAGCAAGCCCTGTAGGGAGGAAACAGAGTCTGCAGCTGGAATTTCTCTGAAACTAAAATGTAGGGTATTTAGGGTGATTAGTTTTCAGCTATAGGTTCTGGTGACCAGGAAACAGGAAGATCTCATTTAGCACTTCATACCAGCAAGTTACACATTTATTCCAAAGTTGCTTATTATTAGAATCTCACCATTTTGAAAAAAAAATGGATCTTAACATAAACTGATTTTAAATCTCATGAAGAATTCAAAAGGAAGAATAGAAAAAATATACAAACATGATAAATCTCATTCATAACACAGTAAAAAATTGATAAAAAATATATAAGTATCCTTATACTGCTTCACACTAACTAGGATGGCTAAGATTTTTTTTTTAAAACAGGAAAATAACAAATGTTGGTGAAGATGTGGGGAAACTGAAATCTTAATCCATTGTTGGGAAGAAAAATTGGTACAGCCGTTATGGAAAACAGTGTGGTGGTGGTTCCTCAGAGAACTAAAAATCAAACTACCATATGACCTAGCAACTCCACTGCTAGGAATATACCCAAGGGACTTGAAAGCAGCAACAGGAACAGACATATATGTACACCATTGTTCCTTGCAGCATTATTCACAATAGCTCAAAGGTGGGAACAACCTAAATGCCCGTCAACGGATGAATGGAACAATAAAATGTGGTACACACATACAATAGAATACCACTCAGCCAGAAAGGGAAATGAAGTCCTGATACATGCTACAACATGGACTGAGCTTGAAGACATTATGTTGAGTGAAATAAGTCAATCACAAAAGGACAAATATTGTATGACTTCACTTATATAAAAAGTTTCTTAGTGGTTACCAGGGGTGGGAGGGAGGGGAAAAGGGGGAGTTCTTGCTCATGGAGCACTGAGTTTCTGTTAATGGTGATGGAATAGTCACACTGATTACGGGTAATGGTTGCACAGTCAATTGGTGTAACTGATGTCACTAAGTTGTACACCTGTAAAAAGTTGAATTGGTCAATGCTGTGTGATATATATTTTTACAACAAAAATAAAAAGAAGAGTAGCTGCTGAGGATGCATATGTACAACCAAACATTTCAAGGGATTTGGTTCCTTGGTTTGGAGGTTTAGGGTCATGGTTTCATGGAACATCTTACTTA